GTTCAAATATTATTCTTGAATCAAACCTAATTTAGTTATGAATGCTTCATAGAATGTAATTATCGCTCAACTTGTTGAAAGAAATATATATAATAATTTTTTTGTTTATAAAGATCAATGATTTAGATTACATCATTCTTTCTAAATATATTTTTTAGAATTAAATAAATATAAAAAATTCATATTTTCATACATATGTCCATAAATCTAGAGATGTATATAAGATATTACTAATGTCACAAAAAAATTTCTATAGCCAAAACAATCATTTTTTCATGATTCAATAAAAATATTTAAAATATTAATAGCTTTTTTTGATTGGAATAGAAAAGAATTAAAGAAATATGTTAACTATGAGGTGGATTGTGGTGGCATTAATAATACCCTACATGTATATATTTACACTTATATGCACCCTTATATACAACATCCATAGTTTTTATTTATTTTACTAACATTTGGTATAAATTTATTTCAATTAAAATGAGTTAGTTTTTTTTTTTTTTTTTTTTTTTTTGAGTAATTTTTATCAAAGCATTAGCATTTACTTACCATTGAGCATTTTACCCAAAAAGTTCCAATTAAAATAATGTCTAACATGTGAACTTAAACAAAGTTCAACATACTCAACTGTGGCACTATCTCTTTTCAAAGGAGTTGATTTAAATCAAATTGTTTGCTCAATTTATACAGAATGTGAATCCATCCTAATAAATGTTTATATATATATATATATATATATATATATATACATATACACAGAAAGAGAGAGATATGATGCACACAACATAGTTTTGTGAAGTGGATGGATTCCAAGTCAATGAATGCTAAAAGTGACATTTCAATTTGTATGAAGGTGTTTTAGTAATTTTTTAGAATCTTGAAAAAAAATCGTATTATTTCACTGTACAGTTTATCATCAGTTTGCTGTAAAAAGAATACTTTTTTTCCTAATACCAAAATGGCGTAGGACTGATATTTTATTCTACCTGCTTCCCACAGCAACAAACGAAACACTGGACATCAACAATCGTTTCTCTTTGAACAACTCGCACATCGAAAATAAGAGTCGTTTCAAAATAAAGTCTACTAGTCAATTTGAACCTTAATCACAAACTCATACAAGCACTGCAAGGAAGCATGCAAAGTTTGAATGTAACAACGCTACAGTTACTATGGCTAAGAGACTGAAGATAAACTAGTAAACATTTAGAACAAAGTATCAAAACCACGGTCCAAATGTTCTCCACCGGAGGCTGTATGATGAGTTGAAATTTATGATTGTGTGCAGCTCTCATAACAATGGGTGTGTGCAAGCGTCGGTCATGGAGATCATTGTTTGTGACAGGTACACGATGTGAACTCCTGCAGTTGTCGTTGAAGACTTTTTGATAGAAGGGCATGCAAAGGGGAAACTTAGTCTGAGTATATACTTGCTCAGGTTCTGCTGCTGGTTCAGTGTCCTTGCTGTTGCAGCATCACGTCTGGGTCCGGCTATGCAACTAAGTCTCTCTATACTCTCTGTAACCCAGCGATATCTAATGGGTCCTGACTAACCTAAACATTCTCACGCTGTGTATCTGATAGCCTCCTTTATAGTTTATAAATCACTTCAGTATGCCAGAGTAGCATGTTCTGGGGGATCTTAGAACATCCAGTTGGTCACGGACCTGTGAATATTGACCTTGGTATTGTTTACCTGCTTCGTAGAATCACGGATTTGAGGATATTCCAAAACTCTAGCATGTCGTTGAGAAGAGAGATGGACACTTGAGAAAAGAAATCCAGACTGGGTTGCATTCCGGCTGGTCGGAAAGTTTTTGTCAGTGAGCAACATTGTTTCTGTGTGGACGGAGTTATGTGCGTGCTTCTTTACAGTATAATCTGAGGCATTTAGTATGTTTTTGTTGACTGCGTTCATTGAATTCAGTTGGTTAACCATTGGCTTGCGATAATCACAATAAGTCATGCTCGGAGCATTCGAGAATTACAAGCTGTTGTCACCCTTGCTACGTCTTGTTTACCGATGTGTCAATCAAGAGTTGTGCATCTATTATACCCAGCTGCAATTTTAACACCAGAGGATTGCATTCGGTCAGAATAACAGTTCTGAGTGACAACATTACAGCATTTATAAATCATGTCGTCCAGCAAGGTGCACTTACTATTTGCTCTTTCTGGTCAATTAATTGCATCGTCCTACCAGTCACAACATGACGGCAAAACTCAAGAGTACAAAAGAAGACCTGTCTGATTTCCGCTCTCTGGTTTCAAGCATAACTCTAAGTGATAGCGTCGAAATGGAAATCTTGCAGTACATCGTTCCACTGAAAAAGTAGACATGGGCTCTGGCCAAAGTTCTTAGAGCATGTCTGGCCAACTTCTAGAGCATGCCTGGCCAAAGTTCAGAATAACTAAATTTTTCGTGCTACCAGGTTTCCTGTAAATTCCCCTTCCTACCCAAATTAATGTTGAAGTCAGATGAGGATTCTACAAAGAGCTTGAAGCTTGATGCTATTGGTTAGTTTAGTTGACATACCAAAGGAAACCTTTCTGAAGTTGGATTATGTTTTAAGGTTGAGACCAGCCTCTTCAACCTGGCGTCCATGTCAATTTTATTCCAAGTTGAAGTGTATCACATTGTCAGTATTTGTTTATTGGGGTAGTGTAGAAAAATAGATGATAAACAAAGATGGGACAAGAGTTTAAATTTTTTTTTGACTATGATCATTTTTAATCTTGTATAGAAAGGTGAAATCTTAATGAAAAATTGTAGAACAAAACTGTTGAGTGATATTTTTACCTTCCTCTTTCAATAAAATTTCAAAATTTTTTTAATTGAAACTTGAGTAGAATATAACTTTGAACCTCTAGTTTTGATTTAGGTCTTTTAAATGTGTTGTTATTTAAAGGGTGATTGGGGTTGCTTTTTATATCAAATTAGTTTAAATTTTATATACTTAGTTTTTAGATTAATTTCTATGTTATTTTATATAAATTTCTTCTTTTTAATAAAAATTTATAAAAATTTAAATCATTAAATTTATACATAAACATGATATCTATTAAGCTTTAATTTTAATTTTAATTTTTTTTACCTTAAGAATTTTGTAGCAAAAAGATTTTAAGGACATAGATAGTTTTATTTTTTTAAATTAGAATGATATTATCATAAGATTAATGGGTCTTAAATAGTGATGGTTTAGAAAGAAGTTCCACACCATTACTATTTTTCAAAACCAAGTTTTTAGACATATTATCAATTTTTATACTCAACAACTTTACTAATTATTAAATTTTTATTTTTGATTTCATATTTTAAAAAACATCTAGAATTTAGTTATGTCCATTCTTTATAAACAGTAGATAAAATTAAAGTTTTTCTTTTTTAATATATAAACTACAATTTTTTTTAATTTTTTTTTTAAAAAAAATACATTGTTAATGTTAATTAATTTTTTTATTTTTATGTAGATATAATAGATAAATAACATAAGTTAATTTTTTATATTAAATTAAAGGGATAATTAAAAAAAATTGCATATTTTGTATTTACAAACTTAGATCTATTAGTATCTACAAATAACACAAGTATTATATAAATCTAGTTTATCTAATTGAGTAGAGAGAATCAACATATATATATATATATATATATATGCATATGCAGAAAGAGAAAAAATTATGTTCAGCTACATATAATGTTCTGTAAATCATTCTAAAACATCTTTATTTGTTTTATGAATTTTTTTTTTAACTTTTCAAGTTTATTTCAATTAATGATATTATTAATCAAATAAATTTTTATTGTAATATCATTCATTGAATTACTTTAAAAAAATAGTAGTGGAAGAAGGAAGAATTAATTAATTGGCCAGACATGCTTTTACATATTTTCAGATATAGAAATATAAAAACTGATGGTTAGAAACTTTCAGGGGCGTACATGCCGATAGTTGAAATGGTCGTCACATTAGCTACGGAGGTGGATGCGTTCTGACAGCTGAGCTGTTGAAACCATAACTGTGCTCCCGGGGGGGCTCGAACCCACGACCTTTGGCTCATAAGACCAATGCTCTAACCAACTGAGCTACGGGGGCTGGTTGTTGGGAAGATGAAATATACAATATCTAAAGAGTTTCAAGAAAGCTACTTAATCAACTTGGAAAGTTCATAATCTATTCTTAGTCGTTATCGACTGTTTACCCGGATTTTGGAAGTCGCTTGTTCGTCTCCGTAACTACAGCATCTGCTTCGCTATCCTGGGCCCCTCTGCTCATCCAACTTCATGGTGTCCCCTCTCCTGTTTACATCCCAATTTGTCTTTGCTTTTACGTGGTTGGACTCTCCCCTGGGTCGTAGTTTTTGATGAAAGGTTTTGGTGTTCTGTGGAACATATGATTGGTAGTGGAGTGTCTGGCATGGAGGCTAATCGGTGTTCGGTATTTTGAAGAAAATATTTGTTCTGTACGATTGTTTCTGCTGTCAGCAAGATTCTTCGGCCGTGGGATGTGCGATGAGGGCTTAGTTATGGATATAGATGTAAGGAAATGGAGGGAGGAGACCCCTCAAATTTTAATTAGGTACTAACCCTGAAAACCTCAAAAATCCAATGTGATGCCCAAAGTGGCTGCTTTTTTGTTTCTTTCAGGTTAAGGTCGAAAAGACAAGCGAGATGCAAAATGATAAGTGGGCGCTGAGGAATGTTGCATTGTGGACTGCATGTTGAAGGAAGCGTTGCTTCGAAAACCTCTCTATTTGGTCATTAATGGCACAACATTTTCCTTGCTGAAGGATGCTGAAGAATGCAAAATGCTGGAGAAATCTGCTTAAAACCAGTGCAAGATTGATTTGGTAGGTTTGCTTCATAGAGCTTTTCAATGTATTCCAAAAAAACCTGCCACAAGTCAATTTGTTGTCGTTTCCAAGAACATGCATATATTTTCAAACATAATTGACGAAATTGTAATTTAGACTTTTGGTTGGGTAAAAAACCATGCTAGTGGACAAAGCAGCCAGAAATATTTATGCATATAGATTTAACAAAACAATGAAATCAGTTGAAAATGTATCCCTCATTCATGATGTTGAATTCGGACCTCTAAACTAAGCTGAAGAAAATGGAACAGGTAATTTTGAAGACAGATGCTATTCATCTTAAGGTTTGTTCGTTCCTGTAACAAGACCAGTTTCGACCCGTCGGACCTCGAAGATGAGCATACGCCACATTTTCAGTACAAACATCTCAGCCTCATCGTCAAGAATAGCCTCTAGAAGCTCCAACATAGTAGCTGCTGAAACGTGTTTCCGGGTGCTACTCACTATGAAATCCACCAATGTAGTCTCTTCCTCACCCAGAAACTCTGTGATTTTCTTTGAAATCCAAGGTCGCATCTTTTCATGAAGGCCATGCTGTCACACGAAAACCACACGAAACTGTATAAGAACACTTCGAAACGCACTAAAAAGAGTTGCTAAACTAAAAACCAACATTGTCCCAATCATGATACCACTATCCCTTTCAGGGCCTGAAACGATTTCAGACCATGATTTGGATTGTACTTCATGAGCCAAATCCCAGCATCAGCCTACTACAATTGCGTAAAACCAAATTTGAAGGCATGCATCACACAATCAATTTCAAATGAAGCTTTGACATGAATGAAGGTGGCACTTCTTCACAATCAGCTAGCTCGTCCCTCAGTCCTATGCCATATAGGTTTCAAAGCACGTTAGTTGAGAAACATACCGTGTCATAAACATTCCAATTCACAGGGAAATTAAATAGATCTTCTTTGGTCGTGGGAATGGCATCAATTAGCTGCTTGGCATTCACAACATTTTTCGTTTCAGATGTCTTGGACTCCGTCCTGGAGGAACGGTCACGATCACGTTCACGCTCCCAATCTCTGTCCTTCTCACGATCACGATCCCTTTCCCTCTCTCTGTCTCTGTCTCTGTCTCGGTCACGATCTCGGTCTTTCTCCTTCCGAGACCTATCTCGATCGTTAGCCTTATCTCTGGACCTTCTAGACCTATCTTTGTCGTTCTCAACCTTCGCTGATGACAAGGATAAACTCTTGGCAAACTCTGCAGCAGCTGCTAGATTGTGAGCTAGCCCACCACTTGAAGATGGAGGAGGTGGGGCACATGAGACAGATGAGACAACATGCATTTCTTCTGCAGAATAGTCGATAGGGACTAGTGTACGCAATTTGTTAGCATCGGGAGTAGGATCCTCGTCTTCTTGAGTAAACACAGAGGGTACTGCACTGCGCCTTCCCGACCCAATAAGACCAAATCCGAGCTTGCGAGGAGCAGGGCTACTACTGAGCTTCAGATCGTTGACAGCTGCAGCTGAATTATCTTCTATTCCAATTGGGTGAACACCGTTGCCAGCATCCTCTTCTACTTTGCACAGCGACAAATGTTGAAGAAATTAGACAAAGTTTTCAGGTCTCATCACTATACTTACAAAAATAATCATACTTGAAATACGCCCTCACCACTTGGAAAAAAAAAAGATGTACCAACTACACAAGACCTTACATTATGAGTTGTAAACTTAACACCACCTTCACAAACAATTGCAGAATTACGAGATAAAAATACTTACTGGGACCTGCCACTTCTTCTGAATCACTATCGAACATTGATACAACATGCGCAGATGGGTCAGGCAAAATCACGGGCTCCTCGACATGATTAGTTGATGGGATAGGTTTTTCGTCGACGTCCGCGACATTTTCATCATTGGATATAACTGCAGGTTCAGGACTCGGTTTATGACGTTTGTAAAGCTCAGCAGAAGCACGCTCTTCTTGCTCCCGAATGCGATCAGCCAAATCCTCTTCATACTCTCTTTGACGGCGATTCCGTTTCTCATCGTAGGCAGCACTTCGATACCGATGCTTATGACGATCATCTTCATCATCACTCTCTTCCTCCTGTTCCTTGATCAATCTGCGTCTCTCTTTTTCCCTTTCCTTTTCCCATTCCTTGTCATGCAACCGTTGCCTCTCTTTCTCCCACTCTCTGCTCTCCCATTCTTTTTCACGCTCTTCGTACAACCGTTCAATTTCCCGTGCCCTATTTTCTCGATCCCGCTCCCGGCGTAAACGCTTTCTTTCACGTTCCCGTTCATAACGTTCCACTTCACGTTCTTTGTCCAGTTCCAAATCCCGTTCTCTTTCACGTTCCGAGACCCGCTCACTTCGCCTACCACGATCGGCAGAGCTCGCCTCTACATCTGCGCTGGTTTGCTTTTGTTCGCTTATAGTATCATCGTCGTTCCTTGCACTGACATTTTCTGCAAGATCGCAGTACAGTGAACACAGAGGTCAAAACTAGCGTTGTGTAATACAACTGGTCAGTTTACTACGAAGATGACACGAAAATTGAAGATATACAAAAATCCGTCCATATCTGCATCAAGAAAGTGACAGCAGAACTGAATAGACTCAGATTAATTTTATTTGAGAAAACACGAACAAAACAACAAAAAGATGAAAAAATAGCCAGCTAAGTCCCTTAATGACAAACCATGTCAAGCGATAAAACCAACCGACAATCAATGCACATTCAAGGCTTTACACTAGAGCCATGTAGAAACTGCAAGTAACATTAGACCGTGAAATTTGAGAAATTGTACCACTCTTTACTCCGTCTGCAGATGAGTCACCATCTTTAACAAGAGATGGACCATCAGCAACAGAACTGCTCTTCACATTAGTTTCTGAAGTAGAAGGCAAGGGAGGCGGTGGAGGCAGAGGTCTCGTTTTTGCCCTGCAACAATCAACGAACCATCAGCGATAGTGCACATTGCATGGAGGAATGCAAAGAATGAGACGAGATTCCTAGAATCGTTTACTTGCGAAAATCAGAGCAAATTAGGGATACAACTCGCAGGTCCCAAAATCCTAACTTAAAACCAGCAATTACTATTTCCATAAATACCTGAACAACGAATAGCAGGGAGATCATTAAATAATGATAATAATATCTTATTGCGTAAAAAAATTAAGTTTTAAAGTTAAACAAATAAATTGACATAAAAATACCTTTCAGCCAGCATAGCGTTGAGTTTCTGAACAGCTTGATCATCGACTTCCTTGTCAGCCTGAGTCACAAGACCGAATTTTTTAGAATCCTCTTTAGAAGTACATTCGTCCTTATCGGAATACACGCCATTCATTGCTTTCTTGGGCGCAGGCACAACTTCCACTCCAGGTGCAGCTTCCTCTTCTCGATTGGCTGCCTCCTCTTCTAGTGCAATCCTCTCCTGCTCTTTCTTTTTTGAGACATAATGCTCAAGGTACTCCCTTGTTGCTTGATTAACATTCAGCTGCAAAAATCAAATTCTCAATACCATTAACATTAATACAAAGTAGTGTTGAAGAAATTACAAGTTAGCTTAACCACCAGACCCGCTTAGTCGCTCACGATATTGGATAACCTCGGGGTAACAATACACTAATCAACAAACAAATCCCAAACGAGATTATTATTTTCTGCACGACTTGAAAGGAGAACAACAGAAGAACTAATTTAGACAAGCTTTCCTAAATCTTAAGGCATGAGGATAAATAAAGGAATTCTATAAAACACAATCCAACTTCTTAGCAACACACCCTTCTCACAGTGCTAGAGCATCATAACCAGCCTCCCTCAAAAAGGTGGGAGTCAGTATATCTGATAAACCAGAAATATAAGATTCGGGATTATTCATGGAAAGGACCAGATGTTTTGAGCAGCATGATGACCCCTCAGACAGGCGCTTACCACTAGTTCCTGCCCCTCCAGAGAATATTTATTAAGAAGACGGAGAGCTCGCAGCACACCCTCAGCAGACTCAAACTCACAAAATCCAAAGCCTTTAGGAGAGCCAGTCGTAGGATCCTGAGCACGTTTCCAGCTTTTGATGCCTCCGCAGAGCTACAAAACAGTGCAGAGAAAGATTAACAAAAAAACGCACAACAAGTCTCGTTCAGCTAATCAACAGTACTCAGAAAGAATGTCAAGTCTTTATACTTGAAATGAAAAAGATAACATTCCATCCATGCGCAATGTTCTCTGCGTATCTGTAATTGCATTCATTATACAGCTGGAGTGTCCATGTACAAAGAACAATCGCCCTTCTTCATCAATCTTCAACGTTACCGTCACCTTCGCATCTTCCTCAAATATGGTACTTCTAACTCAAAAACAAACCCCATACATGTCAAAAGTGGCGTAGAAAAAGCAACCACCTGAAGAATTGCTCGAAGAAATTCATCTTCAACAGTGGAAGAAATTTTCCCAACGTACACGGTCGTGTGAGGCTTTTCGGGTGGAGCTGCGACCTGAGCCAGACCTTTCACAGCAAGGTCGTTAAGCAGCATACCAGGCGGTGGCTTCAGCACTGGCGGCATAGGCCGGATCCCAGTTCCAGGAGGTCTTGCAAGCATTGGTACTGGAAGTGGTCCCATCGGAAGACGCGGTGTAAACACCGGGGGTCGAACCATTTGTCCATAGGAAGATGCAGAGTAGCGGGGCGCGCCTGCAGAACCAGAAACAGGAACTGGGGAGAATCGTGTCAGAAAGAATCTTTCTAGACTTGAAAGCTGAGACGCTAATTTCAGTTTTAGCCTCAACAACTCGCATTTGGAAGAATGGCACAAGTATGATGTACTCACCTGATCCAGGCTTCATTCCAGCAATGTACATTACCCCAGAGAGCATCTCATGGCCACATTCTTACCTTCAAAATAAACTGAGCCAGAAGACATCCAATCCTCTTGAAAGAAAACACACATTATTCCTGGTGAAGGGTGCTGATGAACCTAGGGGCCTATTAAGGAGACAAGAATTGACAAGTAACACGTCTGTCCTCGTGTAACTTCCCAACCGAGTGAGAATGCGATCGACTTCTAGTTCTTAGTAATTGGATTGTGCGGTAAACTTAAGTAGAAGGTGAAGGAAATAAGATGTGCAAAGGATGATGGGATGGCAGATATAATTGCTGTTGCGATTGTTTGATAGGGAATTAAGCATACCACATAAGACGATGAAGGCTCACACCCGTGGGCGCTCTTTCCATGTTCACCATGACAACTCGAATGCACTGCTGGAGGAGAAAACAGTCTGTCACCCTCTTGCACACATGCCTGTCTTTCTCTCCCGCCACGTACACACTCCTGGTGCTCTCTGTGCGTCCATGTTTTCTACCCTTGTATCATGCAAACAATCTTTATGAACAACTAATACAAAACGCGTGTACCCACCTCCAGGAGGCATAACAGGCGCTGCCGACTGCCCCGGAGCTGGCCCTTGTGATGGTACAAATCCGGCTGGCGGGGGAGCGTACGGTCTTGGCTGCTGCTGAATTGGCATTCCATACCCAGGCCGCATCACTGGCTGCGTCGATGCAATTGAACCTCCTCCTGGCTCTGGCTGACCTCCCGCACTTCCGAACGAAGGATTGCTCATCTTGTAACTGATCGCCTCCCTCTTGGCCTCAAAAGATTTCGTCACGAACGATTGAGCAGTTTCAATATATTTCACGAGCGATATACTCTTCTCACATCCTTAAACAAAAAAATCTTAAAGTAAGAGATCAAAAGATAAACGGTAATGTCGACTCCCACGACAACTCAAACATATGCTCAATATCGACTCCCGCGACAGCCCTACACCAGTGAACAGCTCCCACTAACAAGACCGCCACCGCAAACTAAACTGCACTCACATTCTCCTTAACTTTGAAAACCCTAATTTAACTCACAAGCTTCCCCCCCAAGTCGGAACCCAACTCTCCAATACGCCACCATACGAAACCCCTCAAAATGTGGTCGTCCATCCTTCAGGTTTCAGAAATCATCCCCATACGTCGAGACTCAAAACCAGTCATCAGACGAATAAGAAACGCATTACCGACGTTGTTTCACTCCTTTACACCGACGCAAACTATCTGTCCTCATCAATTGTGTCACTCTGTCCCGAAAACTCAAGGATGTGAGACGGGCACTCACTCCATGAGTAACGGCAACATCGATGGAGTGAGAGGAGCCTGTTGTAACTTCCTTGCAGGCGGACGAGGGCGATGAATGCACAAGGAGGCGATGGCGCAGGCTGTGGTCGCGCAAGCTTTCCATAGAGGGAGGAACGCAAAGCAGGAGGAGGACTAGGGTTTGGACGAGGAATGGTCTGAATTTTTGGCGCGAGATTCCCTTTCTCATCCCGCGCTGCACTATCCTCTTTGCTTTGGCGCCACTTCTTGCCACTTGGCATTTCATTTCCCGTCAATTACACGCTAATTTCAAGTCATTCTGAATGGAGGTCTATTCAGTGTTCCTGATAAAAAAGTGAAAGTAATGCACTCTAAAGTATCATCAATTCTATTATGCTTAAATTTCAATAAAATATAAGTCCATGTGTTTTAGTTCTTGCCATGATTATCCCTTTCTCCACGATAATGCCCGATATATTATTGGGCTTTTAACCAAAACTTGCAACACAAAAAATTATTAAATTATAGGATTTTATAATGAAATTTATTAAATTATCATTTTTATCTTTGAATTAAATAACACAGTATTTTTATGAAATTTGTTGTTACTATTGTAAAGAAAATGAGTAAATGGAGACAAATGAGAAGTTGAAATATAAATATATATATATATATATATTAGTGATTTAATTATGTTTTAACAAAAAACATGAATTACAAATATATTGAGGCTTCTTTATTTTTATTTTTAAAAAAATGAAATGTGTCAATCATAACAATGATATAAACAATTTTGCTCGTTAACATACTTCTTTAGTTAATTCTTTAATGTGCTTTTGTCTATTATTGAAAATATCATTGAAATGCAATCAAAAGATAAAATGTATTTTCATGTTGTTAAAACAAATATATGTACATAAATAAATTAGAAGTTTTATTATCATAGCTTTTGGTACAGTTATTTGTGTTTAAAGTAAGAATAGCAATCATTTTGAAAGTGATATATTATGCGCTTACTCCTTGTGAAAACCATTTGCACCTTGCCTTATAAAACAATCAACAAACGAAAGATTGTATGCATGGCTTAAATAATTCAAGCAACAACCAAAATGTAATAATATCAATAAAACAAGCATATCAGAAGATACTACAAAGATATTCAAAATTTCAATTTCAATCAAAATCATCATGTCTTCTAAACAATTTCATGTTATAGATCCTCAAAGGCCACTATTAGAAATTGCAATGGAAAAATAACAATAAAATAAATATTTATTCATTTTATTTTATTTTATCATATTCAACTACCTTATCTTCATTCAATGTGAAATCTCAATGCCCTCGTTTTTGTTGAGAATGTTTAGAAAGACACAAGAGTAGTAGTAAGTAATACAAACACAAGAGAGTTTCTAAAGAGAGAAATCTTCACACAAAACCTATTGATCTAGTTGTGTCATGTATACAAAAGGAGAAGGGGAGAGGATAAACAGTTTCTGTCATGTATACAAAAGGACAAGGGGAGAGGATAAACAGTTTCTCTCCACTACATTCCAAATACTGTAGCTACAGTATTTACTATAGACTACAGTAAATACCATGGAGAGTGCCAGTTACATTTCATGCTCTCAACAGTTTCACGACACAAAGGTTGCAAACACTAACTTTCAATTTTTAACCGCATCCTTTACCTTTTTCCGACGTGACTAATTTTTGAACAGAAGTCAACCCTGAGATGTAATGTCACGAATTGGCGGGATCGGAAGATTTTCTCTAGAAAGGAATATTCTGTCAAAAGAGCTTGTAACGTAGATTTCAAGAAGTTTGTTCCATCTGCCCGCAAAACAGACTCGGGCAGGGGTGCTGATTGCCCCTGCCAACTGCCGCAGGAAGGTCGCATCGCGTAGCGTCGTTCAATATTACGCTCGCATTCTGCTCACGCCGCATTAGTTTCGCGTCCGTGTTCCCCTCGTTATTTTTATTGGGGAGTTTGCAGACATTGCTGCTACCGCGGCCATGGGCGAGACTTCTCCCAGGCCTCTGCGCATTCTCTTTTGTGGCGATGAGTTCCCTCCTGCGGAATTCCATACTAGAGAGCATCTCAAACAGTACGCACACCTCTATGTATGGATCCTGAACTTGGTCTTCGTACTTGTTTGTTTTGCGTTTGCTCTGTGCTTGTTTGTTGTTATGTTTTCTGTGTGAGTCCTGTTTGAGAATGGCTCCTTTCGCAAGCGTAAGGAAAAGGTGAAAGGTTCTTTCGAGTCTCTTGTACCACTCTGCAGCGCAACTTCGATTTGAATTTGAATTTTTTGTTTGTTTTTTTTGAGGGATAATTGTAGCATTTGAAATGCTTTATGCTGCTTTAAGAGTTGAGCTGAGCATTCAATTTTATTGAACTATGTGTAACGAAGAGAGTGTTGTTTGCCTTGTGCTGCAAATTTGTGATGTCAAAACTGGCTGATGTGCCCAGCGATGAGCTGACGAGACGTGTGTGTAGGGCAGGTGGATTCCTGGTCAAGGGAGGAAGTGCCTGGACGAATAGCAGATTATGATATCTGTGTACCCAGGATGATGCGTCTAGATGCGGAAGTGATTGCCCGCGCCAAGCGGTTGCAACTTATTGTGCAGTTTGGTGTCGGGCTTGAAGGTAGAGCACGACTCTGAATATGTTGGTGGATAAACCCTTGGGAATTTCTTGCTGGCGCGCAGCTTTAGTTCTATTGGCATTTTGATTGTAGAAGGAGTTACAATTTGTACTGGGGACCTTAAATCTAAATGTTACAAGAGATCTTTGGTACAGGAGTTGATGTGGAAGCCGCAACAAAAGCTGGGATTAAGGTGGCCAGAATTCCAAGTGCGAACACCGGAAATGCGTTCTCGTGCGCGGAACATTGTATTTACATGATGCTCGGCCTCCTTCGACATCAGGTACAATTGTGTCTTCGTGTATAAAATCTAGTGATTCACCTGTATGATGCGTTATTTTGGCTGCATTGTCGAATGGAAGTCCTGTTACTCATGCCTCAAGACTGTCGAACTGTATCATATGCTGAATTTATAACTTACTTCGCTTTTCCACATAAATCTTCTATTATGTGAAATGTTGCCATAGGTGTTCTTACTCATTAATGAGTGCACGGCTGCATCTCTGACACCCTTAGCTTGTAACAGAAAGACATGTGGTCTTCAATTGCTGCCAAACGATTAGGCGAACCTGCTGGCAGCACCTTGTTCGGGAAAACTGTGCGTAAGATCATTTTTTACTCGTTAAGCGGCATCATTGTTGTCTTCAATTTCACTCGCAGATTTTTCTCGACAATTACAATGTTCCAGTAGTACTCGACTACATTCTCTTGAAGTTTTCCTGAGGTAGCACTAAAGTTACCGAGTCGGAGACATCCAGACCAGTTTTTGCAACATATTACTTTAAAACCAGAAAAGTACATGCTCACGTCTTCAGAGTACTTCTTCTTGAATTACAGTAGGTTGCATTGTCCAAGGTTCGCTAGTATCTGGCAATCATCTTACTGAATCGTAGATGTCTCTTGTGTTCGGTCAATTACAGCTTAAGGAGGATTATTTCGCGATTTTGTGGTATTCTGTAGGTGTTTATTCTTGGTTATGGACATATCGGGCACGAATTGGCACCACTCTTGAGATGCTTTGGTGTATATATTCTGGCTGTGCGACGATCCTGGAGTGGTAAGTTAGTACCCTCAAATAACCAACTGTTGTCAAAATGATCATACTGAACAAACCTTGCTTCCACAAAATGAACATAATTTCTGCATCATTTTGTTGTCCTGAAGTGATTATAAACAAACTGTGTGGTTTACGTTGCAGGTCTAGAGAAAGAATCCCTTTCTAGACTAACTGATGGAAATGATTCGGTACATGAGAAAGGTGGCTCAGAGCACACCCTTGAGTTTGCTAGGCGTGCTGATATTGTTGTCACCTGTTGCACACTTAATCCTACAACGGTGAGCATATGACTTATTTCGTTACACTCAGAACCCTGCGACTTGTAAAATTTGATACAGTCGTATTAAAAAAGTGTGGAGGGTGGTTGGAGAGCAACTCAAAAGCATGCCTCTCCACTGTCTTTAATTACTTGTAGTTTCCAACTTTGTTTTGAAGGATAATCTCGATGGATAGTCATGTGTTTTCAAGAAAGCAATTAGTACGAGAGATTTTACTCATGACTTTATAATGGTTTTTATATTTGTGTTTTGTTGTTGATTGCAGATAGGAATTGTAGATGCAAAGTTCCTTTCAGTTATGAAGAAGGTATGTATTTTTACAGTTGGCTTTGATCATATAATCTTTATTCCATTTTTTCAAGAGTAGGAGAGTCTTTCAAGCTTTAATGCTACATCAAGCTTGATGTATTCAAGTGAGTTGAGTAGAGATGAGAGACAAATGTCACCATTTTCCCCCCGAAGATCTATGCCTCGCGCACGTTAGTTGGACCGAAATTTCAGTCGCCTTTTGGTTTCAGTGTAATTCTTTTTTGGACAAGTTATTCGACGTTTTATTTATTTATTTATTTATTTTTAAAATTTTTTAGTAAGAATTGGCAACCTTGATGTAGCAGGGATCTTTCATAGTGAACGTTGCACGGGGAGGCTTGCTTGATTATGATGCTGTCTTGGGTGCCCTCGAGTCTGGGCACCTGGGCGGACTCGCCATTGATGTTGCGTGGTCAGAACCATTGGATCCCTCAGATCCGATCTTGCAGCACTCCAATGTTTTGGTCACTCCTCACGTTGCCGGTGTATGCACAAGTGCTTACCAAAACATGGGAAAGGTACACATGTCTATCGTATTTTAATTATTTCGATGTTGTTACATGTCATAAGGTGACGCTAGTTGGTAGATCAATATAATCCATGCGTTTTGGTAATCAGTTAACATTGTTACTATGTGTCACACTACTAGTAGTTATTTCAATCTGTAAACTCGAGTTATATGTACCCTTTAGACAATTATCGCAGCTGACATGTGTGGTCGTTTAAGATTTCATGCATGGTTGGAGATTCTCACTGAGTGGTAGTGGCTAATGCAAGTAATGGCTTTTGTTCTGCAGATAATTGCAGACAGCGCATATCAGCTGTCCATCGGAATGCCTACCTCGGGAATTGAGTATGTGAATTAGTGAAATTAGAACCAAGTGCACACACCTTTGTTCAGACTGCTCAAGACCATCTCCATTTTTCAACGCTTCTTTTCCCCATTCCAAAATGTGCAACAGCATGGGGTACTGCAAACACATAAAAACCATTTGTTGCCATACAATTCTATAAATCAAGCAAGCTGGAGCACAACCTTTACGTTGCCTTAAACATGTCAGCAACAGGCCTAAACTTCAATCCAGAATTCATGCATCTCCTATATTACAAGACTAATTTGATCAACTAAGTTCAGCCACTTGCATCTTTCAGTAGCTCTGTTCCGACGCAGTAGTATTGTCGCCGAGCGCAGCTGCCTGCACAGTCAATTGATACAGTTCTTCAACGCACTTGGATCCTGAGAGTTGCGAACTGCAATACATGCGTGCACGGCATCCTCCTAGGCTTTGCACAAACCCTCGGGGTATCGTTGTCCTTTCTTGCTTTCTCTATTTCCATTAGCTGCATGAAGCTGTTCTCTCCCTTTCTCAACTGCCTCATCTTTCATCAAATAGTTGTCCATTTGCTCAGCAACTTGTCTTCCTTCAGCAATTGCCCACACTACCAGTGATTGACCCCTTCGACAATCACCCGCTGCGAACACACCTTGTAGATTAGTTGCAAACCTGCCATAATCAGCCTTAAAGTTCGACCTTGCGTCTCGTTCTAGGCCCAGCTTCTCAGCTATGTTCTGCAATACAAGCAACTGCCTGATATTAGTGGTCTATTCCCCAAAGGCAGACAAAGCGACAGATCCTTGCTGTGTCCTTCAAGTTTTTATAGCTCAGATAAAGACACGTATGAAGTTTTCAGACTCTTGCTGCCAAATGAAAAGGTCGAAGATGGTAATATACCTGCTCTGGCCCCTGAAAACCAAGCGCTAGAAAAGCGAGGTCTGTTTCAATCACTTCCTCGGAACCAGGAATCTCCTGCATCTGAAACTTGTCAGAGTCCTTCTCCCACTTTACATGAACTACTTCCAACCCGATTAATTCTCCCTTCTTGCTTCCAATGAACTTCTTTGTCAATACTTCATAAGTCCTGGGATCTTTTCCGAACTTGGCATGAGCTTCTTCGTGTCCATAATCGATTCTGAATACTCTAGGCCACTGCCAAGAGAACAAAACAACTATAATCAACAAGGAGAAATTGAAGCTATTCAAAATAACAAGTATTGTGATACGATAGAATAAAACACTCACGCTTCTAGTAAACATCTCGGGCATTTATTGAAGGCTCAGAAAAGAGTTCGCATGCCTGTGGCCAAGGATTTCCAGGCGCCCTTGTGCTTGTAGGTTGCGGGAGAAGCTCAAGGTTGACCAAATTTGAGCACCCATGTCGAACCGAGGTTCCTATGCAATCAGTTCCTGTGTCACCACCTCCGATGACCACCACCTTCTTTCCCTTGGCTGATATGTATTTCCCATCTTGAAGACCACTATCTAACAAGCTCTTCGTGTTTGCGTGCAAAAATTCCATGGCGAAGTGAATTCCCTTCAAATCTCGTCCAGGAATGGGCAAGTCCCTGGACATCATGAAACCAAAGCTCAGAAGAGACTCTGATTAAAGAGATGACTTAATTCTCTTTGATTTACTGCTTTTTTAAGCTTGTGATTACGATAATCTATATATTTTATTCCATAATGAGGTTCTAATTTCAAATTCTGATCGGGCAATCGATTGTGAAGGACACCTTGATTTTGTGGCCCCACACGCTAGCAGAAGGGCGTTATTATCCTGACGTAAACTTTCCACTGAATACATTGGATCAACTCCAACATGTGCATTGACAGCAAACTGAACACCCTCGGCAGCCATCAAGTCAACTCGCCGTTGAACGATGTCAACCTTATCTGTCTTCATGTTTGGAACACCGTACATCATGATGCCACCCACGCGATCTGAACGCTCATACACTGTCACTGTATGGCCAGCTTTGTTGAGTTGGTCAGCTGCTGCCAAACCAGCTGGGCCACTTCCTACAATGGCTATCTTCTTCCTGCAAGAACATTCACAATGAGTTCAAGTACATCTAAAGAGCAGCTGGAAAAACACCTTCAATTCAACTGGTGGTATTCGCATGGGAAATTCACAGCATGTTATTCATTTGGAATTGGAATTCAGAACCTCTGGAATTAGTAGGGAAAAGTAGGTACAAAAATAGCAGACTAATTGGGAAAACTTTACCCGGTTCGTTTCATTGGGGACCGTGGCACCATCCAGCCCATTTCCCAGCCTTTATCAATGATGGTGCATTCCATGGTCTTAATTGTTACAGGATTCTCAATTATGCCCAGAACACAGGCTCCTTCGCATGGTGCCGGGCACACACGGCCGGTGAACTCTGGAAAATTATTGGTTTCGAGAAGTCTATCCAACGCTTCTCGCCATCTTCCCTGATACACAAGCTCATTCCATTCGGGAATTTTGTTTCCCAGTGGACACCCACTATGGTCCTGTTCAATGTTACAGAAGCCACACACCCTATATCCTGGTTATGCTCTGAAACACCGTCACAAATTAACTGTTGCAAATTGAGACAAGGGGATAGCTCTGCATAGATTTATTTTTCGTGTTGAAATGCACTATAAAGGACAAAATAACATCACCGCAAATCGTCACAATCTCTGGATTTAATCTAGCATGACTTGTGATAGGAGGTAATTGATCAACTGTAGATACAGAAGAACAACCGTTATCAATATATAAGGTTGTGTGAGAACCTGATGGCAAAATGGAGTACCACAATCCATACACCTAGCTGACTGAGTTTTCAGGAGTGGTTCATTTATCTCATGATCGATCACCTCATCCCAGTCTTGCACACGCTCCCCAATTGGTCTTAATGGTAGAGATTCACGCCCATACCTGACGAAACCTCCGTGCTTTGTCGGCTCATAGACTATTGTAGGTCTTTCCACCTGATGAAACGAGAGTACAAAAAGTTTCCTTTAAATACAGCGAATAAGGATTCCTACGAGCTCTCATAAAGAACTGTGAGTACTAAAGAACGATTAACTTAAAGGAAGAATTTACTGTGGTATATGCGAGCCGTCTTACAGGGCACTACATTATAATCACTGACGACATGCCAACTATCCTGCAGTGAGATGTTGATTTATCCAGAAAAATATGCTTTGATGATCACAGTTGACGTACTTTAGAGGCACCATTTGCTGAGGGGCTGGTAGCTTCACTTCGAGTGGACAGGTCTTTAAGTGCCGCAAAAGTGTCTTTATTTGAAAGATCTTCTCCCGTTCTAGCAGATCTTTCAGCTGCCTCCTTAGTCTTTTTCTCCATGACAACTCGTTTGAAATCTCTTGGATATACCTTCAGTCACGAAAACGTCACAAATTGAATGGAGAAGATTCAGCGTTTCACTATCCACCACACTTGAGAATCAGATAACTAGGTCACCCAAACCTGCTACGAAATTAAGGATCACCGAGGACCTCTTCATATTTCTTGTACATGCACGAAAGCCCCGTGAGTATCCGACGTTGATATTCCTGTAAATCCATGTTTTTTCATCCCAAAAAAAAACCTAAATTTTGTTCATGCAGTAGCAAGAAGTTACTAACCTTAATGAATTTTGGAAGCAAGGCTTCGAAGTGATTGAGGACATAACGCGCTAAACGGCTATGGGTGGCACGTTGATGCTGTTGAATCAATGACCGAAGCAGAATAATGTCATCCTCCTCTTCTACAGAATCTAAATCCACTAACGCCGTGTTGCACTTCCTCAGAAATAGCCTCTCTCTGTCGAGGACATAGGCAACCCCACCACTCATACCCGCTGCAAAGTTTCTCCCCGTTTCCCCAAGTACGACAACTGTGCCTCCAGTCATGTACTCACAGCCGTGGTCACCAACTCCTTCAACTACTGCATTTGCTCCCGAGTTGCGAACTGCGAACCTCTCTGCAGCCATGCCATTGAAATAGGCTTCTCCACCGGTGGCGCCATACAGTGCAACATTACCTATCACAATATTCTCTTTCGGGTCGAAGCTACTGTTCTTATGAGGGTATACAATAATCTTCCCGCCACACAAGCCTTTTCCTACATAATCATTACTGTCACCCTCGAGCTCAAGAGTGATTCCTGAGCACAAGAAGGCTCCGAGGCTTTGGCCTGCACTGCCATTGAGCTTCACGTGTATAGTGTCTGTGGGAAGGCCAGTTCGGTGGTATCGCTTGGTCACCTCGTGACTGAGCATGGTTCCCACCGCCCGGTTTACATTAAAAACGGATGTTTCAACATACACAGGCATGTTTCTGTTCAAAGCCGGTTGTGAGAGAGCAATAAGTTTCCGATCCAAGGCGTTCTCGAGGCCATGATCCTGGGATTCAACGCACCTCTGTGCAGCATCGGGTTTGATCTTAGACGCTGGATGTAGGAGCAGAGACAGGTCTATGTTGCTAACTTTCTCATTCTCTGTCATTGCCGTCTTGTCCATCTACATAACTCAATCGTCAGAGAAACGTGTACGTTGCGCTCAGAACGATGCATCGACAACTAGCTGCAATGATCGTAGTAAAATTGAAATATCTCTCATTTCAGTAATTGAAGAAATAACGTATTTCTGCTGGTTTTTAGGCGCTTCATAACAAGTGTGTACCTCTAAGAGATCGGCACGACCAATGAGGTCATCCATTCTCCGCACACCCAAGGATGCCATGATCTCCCTTGCTTCTTCTGCCACCATAAAGAAAAAGTTAGTCACATGGTCAGGCAGACCAGAAAATTTCGTTCTCAGCACGGGGTCCTGCGTAGCAATGCCTACAGGACAGGTGTTCTTGTGGCACTTGCGCATCATGATACACCCCAGTGTAATCAGAGGGGCAGTGGAGAATCCAAATTCCTCCGCCCCTAGAAGAGCAGCAATTATTACATCATGCCCATTTTTCAGCTGGCCATCCGTTTGCAGTATTGTTCGTCCTCGAAGACCATTTGCAACCAATGTTTGTTGTGTTTCAGCCAATCCAAGCTCCCATGGGAGCCCTGCATGCTTTATGCTAGTCCACCGGCTGGCTCCAGTTCCTCCATCGTGCCCAGAAATTAGAATATGGTCTGCGTGGCCTTTAACGACTCCACTTGCCACAACCCCAACTCCAGCTTCGGACACAAGCTTCACACTGATGCGTGCACTTGGATTTGCATTCTGCAAAAAGAATATGACAACGATTTCTCTTATCACACTTGCGATTAGGCAAAAGGTGTCCATTGAACATTTGACTCGGTCCGAATAGTCATTCTCATCTATTGATCGAAATCAAACCTTAAGGTCGTAGATGAGTTGCGCAAGGTCTTCAATAGAGTAAATGTCATGGTGTGGTGGTGGGCTGATCAGACCAACACCCTCAGTAGAATTTCTCGTGATGGCTATGTCCCCAATCACTTTGTGCCCTGGTAATTCTCCCCCTTCTCCAGGTTTCGCGCCCTATGGAAAAAATAAAACATTCTTGTATTTACAACCTCAAAAGTGGAAGCTTACCACAGAAAACCATTTATTTAGCAATTGCAAATGATTATTATATCTACATATCTTAAGCTCGACCTCTACTTCACACGAGAATCCTGAATTTTTACAAGTGAAAATAGTAGTTCAGATGGAAAATATTTGAAGATAATTTTTTATCGTGCCTCAAACAACTTAGAAAACAGTGTAGCTGTGATTCGGATTATAATAGAGCCTAGGCATGATGCAAACACCTGAGCCATTTTAATTTGAATCTCGTCTGCATTTGTGAGGTAGTAACTCGTTACTCCAAAGCGCCCACTGGCAACTTGTTTGATGGCACTTCGCTGGGGATTCGTGCTACCGTCCTCGAGCGGTTCCAAGCGTTCAGGCTGCTCCCCACCCTCTCCTGTTTTTATGGATGTAGTAGTGCGGACATAAAAATTTGGTTATTGAGCCAAACATAATCAGTCGGAACGCCTTGAAAGTGAGACATGGAAGAAATAGAACTAATTTCGTCCGTTGAATTGACATCGAGAAACCAGGGTCCCTCAAATCGTTTCGCTTCCTCATCACACACTGATACATTACTGCTCCACTAATATTATACTCGACTGAGATAATTCAGAATGATTTCACAAAAAATGAAGATGACATTGTGTTTAGTGTAATCTTTTGCAATGATTACCTGTATTGGATTTACCACCCAGTCGATTCATAGCTACCGCAAGAGTTGTATGAGTCTCTAGTGAGATTGATCCATAGCTCATGGCACCAGTAACAAACCTCTTCACTATATCCGATGCAGGTTCCACCTCTTCTAACGGGATTTGTTCAGATTCAGGTAAATCCTTGAATCTCAGCAAACCTCGCAAGTTGCACTTTCTATTCATGTTTTGAGTGATTTTGGAGTACTCTTTGTAGGCAGCGGGACTGTTCTCTCTAGCCGCCTCTTGAAGCTTTGCAATGGCATCAGGATCGTTCAAATGAACCTCCCCTGTCAAGAAACCATCTCCAATATGATAATATTGAATCTCCTAAATATACAATATTTCTAAGGTTTAAGGCTACTGGTGCTTCTGTCAACAGTATCTGCACCATGAAGAGCTGGAGAATATCCAATCTGATATATGAAAATGAGTTGACGAGATATGCCTTTCAATCGCCAATGGTAGTCTCCCGGATTAGGCAACGCTAAGGCCTCGGCGCTGCCATCTGGTAAAAGACGAGCTGGGAACGCAAGTTTATGCATACGTAGCATGTCGTGAGCAAGCATTTCGAACGTTGCACCTTCGATTCTACTTGATGTTCCCTTGAAACACCTTTGGACAACCGCCGTAGAAAGCCCAATTGCTTCAAAGATTTGAGCTCCTTTGTATGAAGCCAACGTTGAGATCCCCATTTTTGCAAGCACTTTTAACATGCCAGCGTTGCTACCTTTGAAGTACTTTGCAATAATCTCTTCCCGATTGTATAGAGTACCCTCCTTCTTTGGAGCTATTTTCCCATCAACTTGAAGTCTACACACATTGCATTCACATCGCTTTTAAGTAAGCAAAGAGCAGAATTTACTCAGTACCATTAATACTGGTAGAAACATTCAGCTCAACAGTATCATTCACGAACGTGCAGTAAAGGGAAAACAATTGTATACTCACCTATAGATACTTTCAATAGCTAGATATGGGCAGATTGCATCAGCACCAAATCCTATCAAGGTGCAGAAATGGTGCACCTCACGAGGCTCCCCAGTTTCAAGCATTAGGGCAACTCTAGTGCGTTCCAGAGATGCCACCAAGTCATGATGCACAGCGCCTGTAGCTACTAAGGAGCTCACTGGCACTCGCTGTGCCGATGTGGCTGCAGGAAACGCAACAGAAGAAAAATGAATTACTGCTCAAACTCTATGTTGTTACCTTCTTTCGAAAAGATGCATGTATTGAGGACGAGTTAGAGGACGTAAGGATTTGGACTGGCTGTTCGGCTATCTTCGCAAGGACTTTGTAGACATGCACCAATCACCAATACATTTAACAAAGAAATTAATTAGTATTAAAAACCTGCTGCTCATGGAAACTTGTAAACACATTCAGCAGTTATTGAGCATGAGTTTGAAAGATTACTAACCACGATCAGAGAGAACAAGGACCGTACAGCCATCGCTTATGGCAAGCCTTGCCTCAGCACAGATGCGGTCTAAAGCTTTTTCGAGTCCCTCACTCCCACCTGATCTAGGGAAAGTAATATCAATGATCTTCGTTCGCCAGCCACGGTGCTGTGTCTTCTTCACAGCTTCCATCTCCTCCAATGTCAAAAGAGGGCTTTTGAGCGACAGACGGTTACACTGCGACTCGGCAACTTCGGTTAAGTCGCCTTCTGGGCCAACCATGCATTCTGTCGACGTAATAACTGCTTCACGGATGGGATCGATTGGCGGATTGGTAACCTGAAAGCACAATATCAGGGAATTCAATTTCATAAATTTACTCGTAGATTATCTCATTAATTGACATAATGTCAAAAAGTCATAATGCTCTCCTTAATGTCAGACTCGTCTGAACTTTCTTTTGATGTACTAGACCCCTAGCATTTGGAAGAAAGAAAGAAAAACAAGTCAGCAACTGATATACATGGTGATATGGGAAGTACAGGAAGAATAAAACATACATTCGAAGTCACCCAAGGCTCATAGATGCGAAACGCTTTGTAAGGTGACTAATAGGCACTGTGTACCAAACATCATACACTTTAATGAAAGATGGAAGGAAATGGCGATCGACTGAGGTGGAGCTCACCTGAGCGAACATCTGCTTAAAATACTCGAAAGAGAGCTTAGGTCGATCAGACATAACAGCCAATGGCGTGTCGTTACCCATGGAACCCAACGCCTCTATGCCGTCGCCCGCCATGGGTAATAAGAGCAACTCCAAGCTTTCAGTTGTGTATCTGATATAAAACCAGCAGCATCTTTTCAACAAGTTATCCATCTCAACTTGTCCTCTATAAACAGTAAATTTCTCTTTTGTGCTATTCATTACTAGCCTGAATCTCGCTGCAACGAATTGCAATGTCATGCGATCCCAGGCTTTATTGCCTATGGACGAGCTATACAACTTTGCACATTGAATCAATAAAGCAGGTTAGAACTGAAGTGTGCAAGTGAGGCACGTCTTGCCTACGTTCAAGCACTTGCCACTACTTTCTGCACCACGATGCCAGATTGTGACAATTTCATGCGTTTGCTTGTAGACTCTGTGGATTGCGTGTTTTTACAAAGTATCTTAAAAAGTTTAAAAGCTGCAGAGATTTCCGGAAAAGGATTCATAGCTTACTAGATCTCTATGAAACAAACGGGATGCGAACTATGCACAATATGTGCCCGCCTCCACAGTACTTAGTTCAGAATAGTTGAAACGTACCCAAAAGCTCGCAGAGGAGCTATAAGCCCCTTTACTCCCATGTGGTCCATTGTTTCGTCTGAAGTCCCAACCTAGAAAATCACAGATTCAATCACGTTTGTCATGAATACAAGAAAATCAACCTGTGAACCACTTGCAATGACAAAAGATGAATCGTGCACTCAAAATTGGAAATAGTGAGCCTCAAGTTTAAAGAGAGCCGGAAAGGTAATCCCATGGGTCATGCGAATTTGGACTTCTCGGTAAGCATGAAAACATCTTAATCAGCAGTTACAACGAGTAGGTACTGCGGTAGAAATCCTTGGTGCATATCAAAGATCTATCTGTTTCATAACTTCATCGCTAAGCACAGAAAGTGAAAATTAAACGACCAACCTCCGCAGCTCCAATGATGGGTGGAGGAGTTCTTTCTCCTTTGGAAACAGAGTCCACAATCTCTTGGAGGGGAATTTTCTGGCGTCTCAGCCACTCGGCATATGGGTACCTACTTGCATATTTCTTCTTTAGCTCCGTATCATCAACTACTTTGTGCTTGTCAAAATCGACCAAAAGCATCATTCCAGGATGCAATCGGCCTTTCTTGAAAACGTTTCGAGGATCCACATCAACAACACCAACCTCGCTCGCCATGATTACCCTCTGATCGTGAGTTATGTAATATCTACTTGGACGCAACCCGTTTCTGTCTAGAGTGGCTCCCAAGAACCGTCCATCGGTGACTGTTGCAAGCAGCAAGCCATGGAGTCAGCTAACAGAAGCAATCAATCAACATCCAAAAGAATGTAACATTTCTTACTATTTTTAGTACACGAACGGCTAATTCGGGGCTCATAACTTACAAGATATGAGAGCTGGACCATCCCAAGGCTCAAGGATGCAGGAAAAGTACTCATATAATGCACGTCTTTCTGGATCCATGTTATTGTCATTTTGCCAGGCTTCGGGGATCATCATCATCACTGCTTCAGGTAGATCCCTGCCACTTCGCATGAGAATCTCCAACACCCCATCGAATGCCCCTGAATTCTCAAACATCAAAGCTCGTCACATCGAAAGTCATACAAATCATTTGCAATTCTCTAAACCCTTCACACAATGTTGTGTCTCAATCATATCCTTAAGTAGCAATGGAACGCTTCACCGTTTCAATGTTAAAAGTAGAGAGATCAGATCCTTCACATCAGAATTTACCGAAGAGTGGGAAGAGTACACAATGTACATCGTTGTGATTTGATACACTTCTTGTTGTCATTCGATAATGTTTTGGCACCGTTCCATTGAGGAATTTAATTTATCTACATGATATTATGATGGACGAAGACAAAATATCCAAAACAACGAATTGTTTGAATAGACATCAAAGGTGATTCGAACTATCATATAAGTCTTCGATTACGCTGAGAACTTACCAGAATCTGAACTTCCTGCATCTACAATTGGTAAGAGCTTTTGAAGCTCATCTTTTGATAGTTTTAACGCATCACATTGCAATAAACCCTCTCTTGCGTGCATCCTTCAGTGACACCAAAATCTGTGTTAAACCTCTTGAGAAGTAAAAATCAAAGCCGTTCTTTGACATCACAGATCTTCTAAATGGTCTACAGGAATATTTAAATATTCTGCAGCACTTTGGAAGCAATACTAAACAGAATACCGATTGTACAAGACTGTTCGAAGATAGCTCTTTCTTTCTCACCAATTTACGTTGCCGCGGAGAGTATTTATTTCTCCGTTATGGCCCAGAAGCCGCATGGGTTGTGCTCGATCCCAGCTAGGAAACGTGTTGGTGGAAAACCTTGAATGCACCTGGTAATCAACACAATTGTGGGCAAGGACCTGAGCATCTAAAAACAAAGTGATCCTGAGAGTGAGCAAAAATTTACAGAATGAACTGTTATACGCATTTTCGTCTTAAAACTATGACTCACAAGTCCCATGTAGCTTGTAAATCGCTTATCGCCCAAGTCATTGTGAAAATACTTCTCCAACTGGTCTGCCTTCAGCTGACCCTTGTAGACAATAGTCCTGAAAAGCATTGCCAGAAAATAATCCAATCACATCTCGAGGTATTTGGTAGTAAAGGATATAAGCAAAACAGCAGAGTGGTGAAGGCATCTGATCCTTAAAAGTTGATATGATCTGAAAATGTAAAAGAACGGGGGTGCACCTGGAAGAGAGTGAGCATATGTAAAAGTCTTTAGCCGCACCATATTGCAAATTTAGAGCAGCCCGAATTGCTATCATTGAAGTCTTCCTCAATACATACATCTGCAACACGACTACCAAAATTGTAAGCTCTACATCATCCCAGGAAACGCTGTCAACTAAGTGAGTCGGATTCCCATTTGTTCTCAGAGCCAGTCCTTCAGCCTATACTAATATAATTTTCAACAAGAACAAGTTCAGCATGTGTAAATCCTGTCAAGATGAACAAGACGATATTGTAAGGAAATAACAAATTGTAATGCTTGAGGGGTGGACGATCTGCATTAAGACCTGACGTTCAATATCAACCGTGGAGTGAGAGCTTGGTGAGAGAAACACTTGAGCAACGATCGGCTCAGTTTCAATTGCTCCCTTTCCGAGGCCAGTGTTATCCGTTTTCACGACACGCCATCCCAAAATTCGGTGTCCAAGCGATTCTGCAACCTGAACAGCCAAATAATAAGTAATAATTAATCTGCGTTTCTCGGAAAAATTCTTCCGATTAATCCAACAAAGATGGACAGAATAATCCACCACTTCGGTAATCATAGATATCTGCTATCAATCCATTGGCATCCAGCCAAGTTGCGAAGGTGCGACAACCTTTTTGAATACGTTTTTACTTTCCTCACGCCTCTGGTCATTTTGCGGTAAGAATACCATGCCGACAGCATACTGACCGAGAGGAGGAAGTGATAAATCCAGCTCCTCCATCAAAACCTGCCAAAACCCCGACACACAAACTTTGAGTTGTCCAGCACTTAATATTCACGCCTACCCAAATTCTTCGCAGATGATTCAGTAAATTTTACAAATATATTGGAAAGAGGCGGCACCCTGATTTCAAAAATTGATCTCTGGGTACATTTCCAACAAGAAAATGTTTACCTGAGAAAAGTAGTCATGTGGCGTGGCAACTAGAATCCCAGCACCGTCCCCAGTGTTCACTTCGCATCCACATGCACCGCGATGTGCCATGCGCAAAAGCATTCCTATCGCATCAGTTACCTGCCACGAATCATAACAAGAGAAGCAATGCTTTTTAGGAGTGACCACAGTGCGACAGCTCGAAGAAACTTTCCATCGTTATGCTTTGAATGGACATTCAAGTCCTAAGCTGTCCAGATAAAGCCTGTGACTGCAGTAAGGAATTCACGAAAAAAACTGAAGAGACGAATGGCACTTACGATTTTTCGGTTCGGTTGGGCAGATAATTCCGCCACAAATCCTACGCCGCAAGAATCCATGTCAAGTGCGGGGTCATAGAGTCCCAGGTTGCCATCTGGAAACCCTGACAGAGCGACCAAGACAGGTTTCAAGCCTGACCCTTTGTCACAAAATCTTTCAGTGAACTCCCACCAATCCCCCTTCCATTGCCTCGTTCTCTCTTCGGGTTTTAATCTCGGGGGTACTTCCCTTCTGAGTCCTGTGAACCTGGTCACTTCAAGCAATTGAAGCTTGTGGCTGCATGTTTGCGGCACCCTTGATCGATTTGCGTGCACTAAGGTAAACCGAGAATTGAACTGCACTAGAGCTGGTACACACGTTGTCATGGTCGAAATGATGAGTTGTACCCCCAGTTCTCCGAAAAAGCTTTGTGTCAGCTCAACTTGAGTTGCTATCGAGTAAGATCTCCCAGAAACTTTTATGTAATGCGAAATCTAAAAACAACTTGTTACATGCTCACTGGCTGAGGTTTCTGGGCTTCTTGTAATAGCTGAACCAACGCAATCCCCAAAGGTTCGTGCTGATATGTAGTTCAAATCATTCGTCCTGCATTTTCCTGGAATATAGCTAATGCTAAAAATGGAAGTTGGAAGGGTGCAGTTACGTCGGGAAGTGCGAAGGCAAATGCAATGGTGAAAAGTAGAGGCAATTCAGGAAAGAATGCAACCACTTCAATTGGATTCAAGGTAGGTAGGCGGGAAGACCCTCTCTGCCGGAAATTGCATTGAAACTTTCGCGATTGCCGAGAGCAGTCTCCACTCAAACTCAGATACGTCGCTCATGAGATCAAAGAAGAAAAGTCACAAATGAGAAAAACGATCGGCTTCTGCCTGACAGAACGTCATGCTTCCATGACCATTCATGCATACATGACCACTTAAGCAAACGATCCAGTGCATCCACGAAATTCTGCCATTCTTCTTGGCTCAGTACATTACCTGTTCGCTACAATTCAACGCTCTCTTCCATTACCTTCATTAACTTCGCCTTCTACGAAAACCTCCAATTTACAGTGCAAATCCGACAAATGAACGCTCTCGAGACCTTGCACCACTTCTACTCTTCAATTAGACCAAGAAGAAACAAGAACTCCACATGCTCTCCCTCTGTGCCTACTGGATCCTGAGCATGTCTAAAAAAAAACAAGCTAATGAGCCGGCGCACCAACTCGCTCTCTCTCTCGCTCTCTCTCTCGCTCTCTCGCATTTCCTAACAAACCTCGACTGCATGAATGCTCCAGGAACTCAAACTATGCTTACTCATGAAGAGGGATTCGCGAGCAGCAACAGCAACAGCAACCTGGAGCTTTCCAGTCGCCATCGATGGGGTCTGGGCTCCAGAGAGAGCTGAACTGGCAATCTGACGTGGCGCAACCTACTCGACCCTTCTCAACTAGTACAGGTTTATTAAGCATGGGTGTGTTGTATCCTTGTTCTGGCCTGCCAGCTGAGCCTAGGCCACAAAGCACCCTAGCTACACACTTTGTCAAAGTTATTTTTAACTTCTTCTTCCTGTTACATCCATTACATTCTATTTAAGAAAGTAGTGAAACGTTAAAATCACTATGTTTGAAGGCATCATGCTTTTTTTCCCTTTCTCCATGCCTTGTAAAACTCTGCCAAATGCCATTTGTGCAGAGGGCGTTGTTGTATGCCTTGGTAACTCATGCCTGGATTTGTCAAGTCTGAGTTTGTGATGCGCTATTGAGATGGAATTGACACGGCAGTACTGTGAGATTCTATTCTTGCCTTTTTTTTCTTCTTCTTTTCTTTATTTATTTATAAATATAAACATATATATATATATATATATTTGCATCTAAAATACATCTGAGTTATTTTTCTCTTTAAACATCACTTGTTACCAGTCCCTGTGTAAGATTAGGTCCTTTTTTTGCATATTTGCAACAAGAGAATTTTCTGCGCTTTTCATGCAGACCCAATAATATGGATGAAAATATTACCAGCCTGTTTAAGTGATATATGCACAAATAGCATCAAGAAGATGTGCTTCAATGTACTGAAATTTGAAAGGAAAATAAGTTTTTTTCAAAATAGTGTGTGTAATTTTTTTAATCATTAGATTTTTTTAATTAGAAACCAGGTATTTAGTATAAGATATATCTTATTTATTTCCATATAATCTCTGAAGCTATTCAATTTATAAGAAGAATAATAAACATTGTTGCAATTCAATATTTTTCCTCCTACTATGCTCACAATGTGGTGTACACACTTAACACTGAAAAGTGCAATTTTATTCTAGTTTCATTTTATTTCACTATTTAAATGATTACTGGCATTGTCATGATACCCAAATATAATTAAAAATGGAAATAACAGCAATCACAAGGAATTCAATTCTCCCATGTTGAGATTCCCTTCATCACAATTAATTTTAGGCTAAAACCAAACATGGTCTTTATGTCTCACATAAATGTTAAATTCAATTAAAAATATTAATATAATATTTTTAGAATTAAAATATATCAAATTAATTTTATTCATAATATATGAACACAATTTAAAATTAACATATACAAACAAATGAAAAACCAATCATGATGAATTATGTGTTTACAAAGTTATTAAACATAATATTGTACTTTTCAGCAAACAGAATGATTAGATAGAGATGCGCAATTGAGATAAATATTTTGATCAACTTGAGAATTTGAAGATTGTAAAGAATCATTACTCTTTTAAAAAAATGGTATATATATATATATATATATATATACTTACACACGTATATGCAATAAAAACAAGGGATTAGTCTTTTAGGATGTAAGGTGGTCAAACAATCCAACAAATGTCTTATATATTATTATTGATAAAGTATTGATTGATTTGTAAGTGTGGGTGGAAGAAGAGGCATTTCAATAGAAATAAATAGAGGATAGACAGAAAGAAAGAAACAATTATTAAATCTAGAGAGTTGTTAAAGTCACACTTCTTTTATCATCTCATGATTCATTCCGTCCATCCTTATTTCTATCTTCGATTTCTATCTCCATTCCTATTTCCGTCCTCATCCTTGTTTTGTGTCCTCCTTTCTCAGGTCCTTGTCTGTTCTTTTATTCTTAGTCTCTTGTTTTTAACTCTCTCCCCTCTTCTTGTCCCTTATTCTTGGTCTAAACTTTTAACTTGTCATTTAGGAGCATAATTCATAGATTTAACTAGATCTAAATTTAGTTTATTTCTAATTTGTTTTTATTCACAAAATGACTTGATATTATTTTTATTGATAAAACTAATTTTTCACTAATTAGCATATCTTGTTAATTTTTAAATATTTAGATTATTGGTTTTATACTTACGGATTTTAGTGGACATTCTATGATAAAGTAGATCATCTAAAATAGATCTACTAGCAATTGTATGCAAATATTTTATATATATCTAGAATTCAAGCAATGCTTTATAAAATAGAACAATCTATGTACCTTTTGATGAAACTTGAATTTGAAGTTTTTATTTTAGTTAAAAACATCAAATTATTGTCAAGGACATGAATCTTAAAGAACTAAAAGATCAATATACTCTTACATCACTCAAAATGATTAGAAAATTATTCAAAGATGGTACAATATTAAACTAGAATAGCTATTGCCAAAGATAGCTAGACTAAAAAGTCTTAAAACAAGACTTAGGACTAGGAAGACATTGATAAGAGTAAAGAAGGCTTCACTCTTGCCTCCATATATACTATCTAACTAGGAGCTATATGACAATAATCTATAAGACCTTGAACATATGTTCAACTTGTAAGATACATGTTTTAACTTGCAAGGTAAGTTTATTATATGCACGCTATATGATGAGCTTATACCACAAGCTACCAATACATGTGTCATGTGGCTAACTTGTTGGCCAAATTTCTAATCTACTAATCAACTACAAATACATGTAAAGTCAAAGCTGTATCTATGAAGCTTCTAAGAAGCTTTTCTATAAGATATTGTTACAGATATACATAGATATTCTAATAAATACCTATATGATTAGGTAGAAGTAGATAAAAGTAGGTTAATTCTTATAATATCTTTTGAAAAAGCTTCCTAGACACTATTTTGATTTTATATGTGTTCATAGTTGATTGATAGGTTAGAAAATTGTTCAACAAGTTAACCACGTGTTGTTAGCTTCCAATGTTGTATTACGTGAAATCTTGCTTGAGAATATGCTGGACACCTAGCTGTAGAAGATAAAAGGAATTTGCAACGATAAGTCCTAATCACTCTAATAAAATCGTATATAAATTGCTATAGAAGTTTAACAACCATAATCAATGATTAATTAAGTCCAATTATTATTATTATTATTATTATTATTATTATTTTATTTTAATTTAATTTTTTATTTTAAAAATAAATTATAAAAAAATATAAAAAAATCCTAAAGAAACCTAAAGAAATTCTAAAAAAATCCAAATCAAACCTTAAACCAAAACAAATCCTAATCCAAACCAAATACTAATCCTAATCAAATCCTAATCTTAATCAAATCCTAATTCTAATCAAAACCTAAAACCTAACTAAATCTTAATCTAATCAAATCCTAATTAAATCCTAAATAAGTCCTAATCAAATCCTAGTCAAATCTTAGTCAAACCTTAATCTTAATCAAACCTTAAATCAATCCAAAATCCTAATTCTAATCCTAAATCAAATCCTAATCAATTCCAAGTAATTCATATAGCAGATTTAAACTTCAATAAATAATGAATGAACCATTGGTTTTAACTCAAATTATGCATACTTCTTAATAATTAAGTTAACAATAATTATAAAAAAATTGAAAGAGATCAAAATTATCGAATAGACGATAACCTCAAAAATGAGCATGGGTGTTAGCCAACCTCCTTCTTTGACCTTGATGCCAATCTCCTAGAGCCAATTTTTCTTGATTGAATTGTTATTTTGCTTCCAAACTTTACACTCTTGTTATAAATCAAGCTGACTACATTTATAAAAAATATTTGTTTCAATCTAATTAGCAAATTGATAAATAGCTAAGAAAACCTCATTGGTCTTCAAAACCCTAAATTCCAAGATCATAATCCACAAAAACCTTCACGCCTTTCAATCTAATTGTTCAATCATATCCAAATTCATAGCATCTATCAAGTACAACTATCTCCATAAATTCAAAAAATTTCACTTATAGATCTACTGCCAAACTTATGAAATTCTCCAAAAAGTATTACCTATTTTATTTCACAAATCCAAAGTCACCAAAAGCAAATCCAACTTTGTAAAGTTGTTACAAAGTCAATATACACTCAAATCACTCAAAATCGATGCTAAAAAAAACCTCATTAAGTCAGCTCTTAGATTCGATTCTTTGATCTCCAAAAAAAGCCTAGAATCATTGTTGAGGCTTAGTTTTGTGCCTTGGAATTTGATTTCGAGCTTGGTTCATAACTAGCCTTCTTTATGTATCAATATCTAGTTTTTCTAGGTGATTTTTGCTAGAATTTACTCTTAAATTTTTCTTAAAGATGCCTATATCATTTATTTTTTCAATCTACTTTGTTTTGCTTTATTTAAAGCTCTACAAAGTAAGTTGAAGTCACTTTTTTAAAAAGGTAATATTACTAATAAAAGTTTTATTACCTTCCTATCTTTTATTTATATTTTTTATTTTATCTTTTAACTTGGCTCTTCTATAATAAGATCAATATTATCATCTTTTACCATATAGTCATGTTATAACATGATAATAGAATAAGCTAATAATATGGCCTACATATAGAAAACTTCACTTGTAAGTTAAGATGTGTGTCTTGCAAAGTCAACACATTTTAGAGGTCATATTAAAGATTGTTACGTAGCTCCTAATTAAGAGTATATATAGAGGCAAGAGTGAAGCCTTCTTCACTCTTTTCAATGCCTTTCTAGTCCTTAGTCTTATTTTAAGACTTTCTAATCTTCTTATTTTTGGCAATAGCCATTCTAGTTCAGTATTATATCATGTTTGAGTGATTTTCTAGTTCTTTTCAATGATACAAGAGTGTATTGAGGATTTTCTTTCTTCAAGATTCATATCCTTTACAATTTGACAAGAGTGGTAACTTACTGTTTTTGGCTTGTTTTAGAAATGAGTGAATTACTCCACTTTTATTATTGTGTTTTGAAGGTTGCGGACTATCTACTTTTAAACAAAGAAATATTATTTTGTAACATTGATCTTTTCTTCAAAAAGAATGGATTATCCTTCTTTGTAGAAATTTTAATTTGGTATTAGAGATTACAGATTACTTCCTTCTAATTAAATTT